GAATTTAGAATCTGTAAAAGATGACAAAATGTTAAATAATTTCTCATGTTAAAGTGACACATAGGATGTGAAGGGGAAGCAGAGGTGTGTGGAAAGCATTTAGTCAAAGCATCAAATCAAGTCATTCAGAAAGGTGAAGGTTTTAAAAATGTTCCAGAGGAATTGCTACTTAATCTGATATATTCAAAGTTAGAAAGAGGGAGAAGACAGTGCTCAAAATGCAGTATCTGCTCAATAAACATTTAATGCCTTTTAAAACAGCTTTGTTGATGGGGCGCCTGGGTGGCTTAGTCGGTTGAGCATCCGACTTTCGCTTAGGTCATGATCTCACGGTTCGTGGGTTCAAGCCCCGCATCGGGCTCTGTGCTGACTGCCAGCTCAGAGCCTGGAGCCTGCCTCAGTCTGTGACTCCCTCTCTCTCTGACCCTCCCCTGCTCACACTGTCTCTCTCTCTCTCTCCTAGAAATAAATAAAACATTAAAAAAAAAATAAAACAGTTTTATTGAGATATAATTTGCATTACATATCATTCTCCTACTTACCATGTAGGGTTCAATGGCTTTTAGTATATTCTCAGAATTGTACATCTACCACCACAATCAATTGTAGAACATTTTTATTAATCCCCAAAGAAAGCCCATAATCCTTAGCTGACACCCCCAGAATCCTCCTATTTCCCCCTCCACAAGCCCTAAGCAACTAGTAATCTACTTTTTGTCATAAGACCATTGTAATCAGGACCTGTATTGTCTACTTTATCCTTACTCTTCTAAGGCCAGCAGCACCACTGGCTTATTTATTTTTATATGGTAGAATATGTGGACCACAGTGTAGATTACTGTGACCTGTAGCTTTCTTCTGTGAATAAAAGGGCTTGTATGCTGACTTTGTAGAACTCAAATTCTGTTTATAGAATGATCTGAATTTATGGAGAAAATAATTTTCTCCAAGGAACTCTACATGCAAGTCACTGATGCATTGACTCCTAGAACTGAGAGGGACTAGGGATTATCTTGTCAAAAACCTTTCCTATAAAGAGAAAGATAATCCAAAATCTGGTGAAAATTATAATGAGGTTCTATTTGTCTTTGTGTGTCTACATGTGCAGGAATACATGGACTCCAATAAATACATTGAGCATCTCCTAACTCAGCTCGAGGAACAACACAGAAGTCTATGGAGGTGAGTGAAATCCATCTAACTTATAGCAGCCCTGATAGCATTGGTGTGGATCACAGAAGCAGGGAGTTGGTAAACTGTCAAAAACACCTTTGGAAGCAAAAATCACCAGCAACTCCTTGGAGAATTTTATTCTTTTAAAGAAAGTAAAGCAACAGTGTCAAAAGTTGTGCTCAAATCATGACACTTTGTCAAGGTCAAGAAATTAATTCATCCAAGGCCACACAGCAAACTTACACTGTGGGAACTAGAACCCAAATTTTCTCACCCTTGCTTGCTTAAAGAGTAAGTTTTCCTGTAATTAAAAAGTTGAATACAGCTGCTTAAAATGTCTGCTTCTTTTTATATTAAAGGAGGATATTTTAGGAATGCTTTTCTATGGACTTCACATGTTTAATTTTTGGTGTGTTCTGATTCTTGGGGAAAAAAAAAGTTACGGAAGAACATTGGTACAGGTAAATTGGAGAAAAAGAGGTTAATATCCTAAAAGGCATATTCTCAAGTTACTTGTTCCCTGGGCTTCTTGGGAATTGTGACTGATCAAAATGGTTATGATGTTGTTTTCTGGGTTGTCATGCTCTGCACAGCTGCCCTTATGGAACCTGCCATTCCTTTTCCTAAATTCCTATGGCTCCTGCTATCTGGAATAAAAATGCTAGTGCTTAGTCACATGATGCCTCACATTGTGCCAGAATTGTTTAAGGTAATTAGCTTTCTCCCCCCAGGATCAGTAAGCCCCTGAAGTCCTTTATTTCTTATCTCTTGGCAGCGTGGAGGGGAGAGTGGTCTCTCTGTGTACAGAGATGGCGGGTAAATATTTGCTAACCCTGTGGCTTTCTTGTCCAACCTCATCCAAGTGTATCGCCGTTGGTCTTTGTACTGGCTGTGTTGCCCTTCTTCATGCATCTTGTAACAAATCCTAATAACCTTGAAATCGGTCTTCTCTGAGCGACTGTAGTTATTAGGCAAAGTGCCTCATAATTTCATTTGTTCTGTGCTTTGTATTAGTTTCCCTGCTTAAGAACAGATCTGTGCTTATAGTAACAGATCATCTATTTCTGTGCATGGAAAAACTTCTGGTAGGGCACAACAATAGTATTTGATTTTTAAGTCTGCTTGCTGCTATATAACTAAGTGATATTTGGTAGATATGTTTTTTAGAGCTATAACCTGATATGGATAAAGTTTTCTTTTGGTAACCAGTGTATTGTATCAATAAAACATGCAACAATGTATTTTTTTTTACAAATAGTTTATTGTCAAATTAGTTTCCACATAACACCCAGTGCTCATCTCCACAAGTGCCCTCCTCCATGCCCATCCCCCCTCCCCCCCCATCCATCAGTCCTCAGTTTTTGTCAGCATTCAAGAGTCTCTCATGGTTTGCCTCTCTCCCTTTCCCCCACCATTTCCGCCCTTCTTCTCCCCCTTGTTCCTCCGTCAAGTTCCTCCTAATCCTCCTATACGTGCAAACATATGATATTTGTCCTTCTCTGCCTGACTTATTTCGCTCAGCATAACACCCTTAAGGTCCATCCATGTTGCTACACATGGCCAGATCTCATTCTTTCTCATTGCCATGTAGTATTCCATGGTATAGATAAACCACATCTTCTTGATCCATTCATCTGTTGATGGACACTTAGGCTCTTTCACAATGTTTTAGCTATTGTGGAGAGTGCTGCTATGAACATTGGGGTACATGTGCTCCTATGCCTCAGCATTTCTGTATCCCTTGGGTAAATTCCTAGCAGTGCTATTGCTGGGTCATAGGGGAGTTCTATTGTTAGTTTCCTGAGGAACCTCCACACTGTTTTCCAGAGGGGCTGTACCCATTTACATTCCCACCAACAGTGCAGGAGGGTGCCCGTTTCTCCACATCCTCGCCAGCATCTAGAGTCCTCTGATTGGCTCATTTTAGCCACTCTGACTGGCGTGAGGTGGTATCTCAGTGTGGTTTTGATTTGTAGTTCCCTGATGAGGAGGGATGCTGAGCATCGTTTCATGTGTCTGTTGGCCATCTGGATGTCCTCTTTGGAGAAGTGTCTGTTCATGTCTTCTGCCCATTTCTTCACTGGGTTGTTTGTTTTTTGGGCGTGTAGTTTGGTGAGTTCCTTATAGATTCTGGATATTAACCCTTTATCTGATACGTCATTTACAACTATCTTTTCCCATTCTGTTGGTTGCCTATTAATTTTCTGGGTTGTAACAATATATTTATAGTTATGTATCTTTTAGATTATATTTCCTATAGTTCTCTTCCAAGGTGTAAAAGGTTATTTAAATGAATTGTAACATTTTCTTCCAACTATTTATAAAGGATATCTTAAAAGAAAAGAATCTTTTAAAAGAAAAAGATACACAAAAAATGATGAATACCACTTGATGAAAACAAATTAGAGTTTAATTTGGCCAATACTGTGTCTTACATACATCAATGGGGAGAAGTTATGGTTTCATGGATTCTGAACCAAAAAACCTGCATGGAAATGGATGTTTTCTTGCTTTGATAAGATAGCTAATAAAAACCTTTTGGTCTTCTTGGATATGATTAAATGAAAATCCAATTTCAGGCATAGACTTACCCTAACATAAAGAAACAGCTCAGAATTTTGTGTGCAGTCACTTTCTATTTTTCCGTCAGAAATAGAATTATTGCTGCTGAAGAAGCAAAGCCTTATATATAGTGGTAGAGGATTTAATTTAAAAAAAGCTTCATTTGAATAACAATAAAGGGCAATGACATTTGAATAGTCAGAATAACTACCTGAGGGAAGATGGGAATGGGTAGTATTGAAAAGAAAATGAAAACTGATAATAGCAGATTTATATACTATTTATTGAATCATGAAATTATACTTGATTATATTTTATAAACAGATCTGATTGACTTAAAGTGGTAGACTTTCTCATGGTTATTACAATATCATATCTGCAACTGTAGCCCAATTGTTTTTTGGGTGAAGAATATGCCAGTGAAAGTGAACAAGGTGGGAAATTCTTTCTGGTTGTGATAAAAATTTTAAAATACTTTCTTGAGGGGCGACTGGGTGGCTCAGTCGGTTAAGCATACAACTTCAGCTCAAGTCATGATCTCACTGTTCGTGGGTTCGAGCCCTCCATTGGGCTCTGTGCTAATAGCTAGCTCAGAGCCTGGAGCCTGTCTTCGGATTCTGTGGCTCCCTCTCTCTCTGACCCTCTCCTGCTCACGCTCGCTCTCTCTCTCTCTCTCTCTTTCTCTCTCTCTCTCAAAAATAAATAAAACATTAAAAACTACTTTATTGAATTAGGGTACAGTCTGTGATGTGCAGATCATAAGAATAGCACGTCATGTCTCAAGCACACTCTTAAATATCCTTGTAAGTTAGTATAAACTTTTTTCTGATTTTTATTATGCTTCTGATTTGTAACTGCTGTAATTTTCATGAAGTGGGCCATTATCATTGCTGCTGATACTAATTGATGGCCTTCCATTTATATTTCAACCTGCATACAATTTCGACAAATCTTGAATACATAGATGTTCTAACAATAATTGTAGTCAGCGTTAACTGATGGCTACAGTGTTTGAGTATTGATCAAAAACATGAGAGACACATGGTATACTATTGCTACTTGCTTAATGATAAAAGAATGAGATCCACTGAAGATTTGATACAAGATGGGATATAAAAATTAACTCTGCTTATTTTTATGGAAGGGGCTACTAGTCTTTAATAGATTGTAGTTGTTTCTTATGGAGTAAATGCCTGCTGTGACACGAATGTATTGTCATACTCATACTCTCAAGATAACTAGTTATTTTGGGGCCCTGTTTAGTATTATACTGAAATAGACCTATAATCTGTCTTTGGTTTTCAAATTGCAAAGAAATTTGAAGTTTAAATATAGCTGTCTAGTGATGAGCTGTCATTTAGCTCAGAGAAGACATTTTTTGACACTAACAGAAAACTTGTGTGAATTCATCTGAGTAGGTAGAGTCGGAATCTAAAATCTAGTGTAAAATTTGAGCACAGGTCTGGGTTGACTTGTTTGCTCTGCACCTCCCTGCTTGATGAAGGAAAATCAACATCCCCAGTGACAACTAGTTGACTAGTAGATGTTGAAGTGGGATGTTAAATTTCTCTGTGTTCATTTGTCTTAATGTGGAAGGTTAAGAATAGAAGAGGAAGGCGCTTTTACACTTAATGTATCATCTGCTACCCTTTCTGATTTGGCTAAATATATCTGACTGACAGGAGATTGTAAGAAAATGACTACTGAGAATGTCTTTCTTGTAACATTTGATAGAAATCTTGATCCACTCGCAGCTTCAAATTAAAAGTTGAGAACAAACACAAACAGTTGGACGATACAAATTGAATTCATGAATATTTATGGTGTTAATAACCCTTTCACGTCATGTGTAAAATTAAGTGTGGAAAATGGAAGCAGCAGAATTATAGAAATGGAAAGAGGCCTGGAGCGTTTGGAGCCTTGGACACTTGGCCTGGACTTCCCAAACTAGCCACGGGGTATCCCCTCTGGAATGAATGTTTTTTTTTTTTTTCTGTAAAACGAAGCTATCAGTAAAGCTAGTTTTTAAGACTACTGAATACTGAGACTATCTGAAATACCTGATGGTTAAAATAATACATTTAGGCAACATTTACAGATACATGTTTAATCTTATTTTTCTCTGATTATACAGCTGGATCATTCTGTAGCATTTAATACATGTATTATAGAAAGCTCTCAGGAACGTACGTAGAAATCAGAAAAATAACAGAAATACCTAACAGCTTGCTAATATCTTCACCAGATGATATCAAAGTGTTCACTTCAGATTTTCATCACTCGACTTGGAGACGGTGTTATCAGTAGTCTGTACATGAAGAATAAGGTCTGCATGGCCAACATTAAATGGCAAGATCTGGTGAATGCAAAGTGCCACCTGCTAGCTTACAGATCCCAGATCAGAGTCCCGTTTGAACAAGCTGCATCTATGCTAGGGTTTCTCAGTC